AGACACTGAGCATGGATATGTGTTGGCTCTGTGTGTGTGTGTGTGTGTGTGTGTGTGTGTGTGGTGTGTGAGTGTACTGGAGAGGTGAGTTTTTAATGGGAATAAGAATGTGTTGAGTTGTTGGCATGCCTGTGTTGAGTGAACATGGCTGGCAGATGTATGTTAGGCTGAGACAGGGTAGATGTTAGTGTGATGGGTTCTGTGTTAGAGGGTCCCTGTGGGTTGGAGTAAATGGGGTGTCTCTGCTTCCTCTTCCCGGATTCCCTGAGTGTGCAGTAATGCCGTGACCCTGATAGACTATGAGCACATCCAGTAGGTGTGGTTCTTGCCCTCCTGGAGCCTGCAGTCTGGTGGGGACATTCGGGAAAGGAAAGGAGTGAAGGAAAGGAAAGGGTCCTCTGACCCTGGATGGTGTGTGTGTACGTGTTTGTGAGGGTGTATCTCTGGCAAGGATGCTGTGTGAGTGTATTTGTGGGTGTGTTGGATGGTGTAGCTAGCTGGGAGAGGGCTGTGAGTGTGGATGGTTTGGCATGTGTGGGGTTGGATGCATAACTAATGAATATGCTGTAAGTGCAGAATAGTGTATGTGAGAGTATGACAGAGGTGTGTAATAGGACATTTCAAGTCGGGGTACATGTAGGGGTGTTTGCACTTGAATAAACATGGGGAGAAGGTATATGAGGGATTGGAGGGGTCTATGTGGTGTGGCTGGGGCATCACTGGAGAACAGCAGTGTTTAAGGACTGCTGGAGCTGTGCCGAACGTCTTCTGTGACTCACAGATGTGCCAACCATGTCTGGTAGCACTTGGGGCAGGCCGTCTGCCCCACCCCTCCATCTGCTACCCCCATGGCTCCTAGGATGGGGATGGCTGAGCAGAGGATGGACAGAGGATTCTGGAGGAAAGAAGGGATGAGGGATCCAGATCTTCTACTTTTCCTCTTCTTGAGGAAGAACTGGGAGGATGGGGGAGTTGGGGGAGGTGGTGCTGGGCTAGAGCTTCATGTCCAACTTCTCTCTCTTCTTCCTGCTACCCTGCTCACAAACCCAAGGGGCCTCCACTTCCCATGATTCAAAACACAGCCACTGCTGGCTACTTGGAGCCTTTGGGAGGGGAGAGGGGAAGCTGTTTGCTTAGGTAGTGACTGGGACCTAAATACCCTGCACTGATGGTCCACACCCACAGCCTCTCTCATAGCTGTGCCTTCGGGTACACCTACATGCCTATTCAGCACCCTGGGGTAGATTCTCACTTGACTGAACTCTGGGGTGATGTGGGTTCCCAGAGATGTCTGGGTGGCATCCCGTACCTGTGATTTGTGAAGTTAGGCACTCGGGTGGCAGGTGAGTGGGGGGATGGTCCTTGGAGCTGGCTGGGGCTGGGCTTACCAGCTCCACCTCCTACAGGCTTTGAAGCGGAAGCCAGATTTGTTCCTGTGTGAGCGATTGGATGTCAAAGCTGTGTTCCAGTGTGGTAAGTGAGGCCAAGTGGAAAGGTGGGCCTGGGGCTCCCCTGCATCTCTAGGCCCCATCTGATTTACCTCCACCTCTCCCACAGCTGTGCTAGCCCTCAAGTTCCCTGAGGCGCCAACTGTCAAGGCCTCCTGTGGCTTCTTTGTAAGTCCCATGCTGACCCCTGACCCCTGCCCCTCCCAGGACTCGGGTGGAGGTGTGGTGTGCGGATCTTGTCCTCAGGGAGAGGTGGGAAGGAGCTGGAACTCACAGGTCTCTCATCTTCTGCAGACTGAACTACTGCCTCGGTGTGGGGAAATAGAGTCTGTGGGGAAAGTGGTACAGGAAGACGGCCGAATGCTGCTAATAGCAGTGCTGGAGGTGAGCTGGAGTAAGTGGTGGGCTGGTGTTTGGTGAGACCTTCACTACTGAGGCAGCTGGCATTGTGGGGGGGACCTGGGTCTTTGGTTTTCTATGCTTTCTGACTCTGTCTCTCCCGTGGTTAGATGTCTGGGTGTCATTGGGGTTTCTGTGAGGGTTGTCTGGGTCTCCAAAGACCATGCTCATGGACACGCTTAGCTGTAGGTGTGTCTGGAGAGCTGCGATATGGCTGGCCTCCATACTACAGAGGAGAAAGGCCCTTTACTGAGAACCCCTCTTCCTTAGGCCATTGGAGGCCAAGCCTCCCGCAGCCTCATGGACTGCTTTGCCGACATCCTGTTCTCCCTGAACAAACACTGCTTTAGCCTCCTGAGCATGTGGATCAAGGAGGCACTACAGCCGCCTGGTTTCCCATCTGCCCGTCTCAGCCCTGAGCAGAAGGACACTTTCAGCCAGCAGATCCTCCGGTGAGCAGAGCTGGAATGAGCCTGAGCTTGGGTCTGGAGGTGATGGTGTTGGTAGACAATGCTAATGTGCTCTCCCTTCCCTCCTCCAGTGAGCGAGTGAACAAGAGAAGGGTGAAGGAGATGGTGAAGGAATTTACACTGTTGTGTCGGGGACTACATGGCACGGACTATACAGCTGACTACTGAGGGACACCTGTGTCCCACGTACCCCTTCTTACCCCTCCTATTCCCAAAGAGTAAACTCCAACCTTCATTCACTGTTGCCTCTGTTTCCTTTCTGCTTCCACCATCACCTAACTGGACCCGGGCTAAGCTAAGCTGCTTAGCCTGGAACCATCGACTGCCTTGCTCCCGGGGTGAGAGGCTATGTCAGCATCAGCAACCCATACACACTCCGGTTAGATTCAGACACACATTTAATCAGCAATGCTGAGTACTAGGTCTCTGGCTCTACACCAAATAAAGTCAGAACCCATTCATAGCTGCCGTACTCAGTGGAGAATGGGTGAGGAGTGACTGTGGAGGAAGGTGCATTTCCGATGAGAAAAGATGGGCCTTCAGGACCCACGTGGGGTATGGGAAGAAATGGAGTAGAGATTTATTTATTTATTTACATTTATTTATGCTTATTTGTATTGGGGGGCGGGGATAGTTTATTAAGCATATTGCAAGAGGACAGAGAGCTGGGCCATAGCTAGTGATCTACCTGCAACCTGGTGATGTCTCTCAGAACACCCGAACTTGCACATGGTCAAGGGGACTGTACAAAGTGTGTGTGGGGGGCAGGGTTGGGAGGTCTCTCAGCCCTTACAGGAGGAGTGCTACCTAGTATTGCCTGTGAACCCAGCTCTGCTTGTCAGGACCATGGACAGCACCTGGCAGCTGGAGTCGCCCTCCTTTTTCTCAACCACAGTTCTGTCTGGCATGCCTTTCTGGTGGTCAGTAAGATCTGAAGAGCAGAGCTGAGTTCTCCACACTCCCACCTGTGACATCGGAGTCCACTTGATGGGAGAACTGCAGCCCATTCCTCTGTTCTTTTCCCAGATTTTGTATTGATCCTGCCCTTTTCTTTTTCATCCAGTGTCTTCCTGAGCCAGCTAGCATCTTCTGATGTTTTCTCATTTACCATCCTGCTCCTTCTCAGTCCCAGTTTTTAAAAACCTTAGGTGCATGTGTGCCTGAATACATATCTGCGTACCACATGAGTGTAGTTACCTGCAGGTATTAGAAGAGGGATCCCCTAGAGCTGGATTAACAAATGGTTGTGAACCACCATGTGGGTGCTGGTGACTGAACCCAGTCCTCTGCAAAAACAGCAAGTGTTCTTAGCCGCTGAGCCTTTTCTCCACCCACCCACCCCGAGTCCCATCCTTACAGTACTGATTTCTCATCCCTCCTGGAGGATGCAGTGATGAGTCACAGGTTTTCAATCCTTTTATCTATCCCACTACATCATGTTAAGAGCCTTTGCCCCTCCCCTCCTTCCTCATGACAAAGCAGGGTCTAAGGCTGGGGATGTGGCTCAGCAGTAGTGCTCTTGCCTAGCGTGCACGAGGCCCTGGGTTTAGTCCCAAAAAGTGGGGAGAGAGAATAACTGTGGGGTCAACAGTTGTTTCTGAGGTCAGTAGAACAGGTTTGGATGCTGATTATGCCATTGACCTACTGTGTCTTGTTAGTTATTTCAAATCTGTTTCCTTATCTATAAAATGAGATGATTCTTGCTCCTAAGAATGTAGTACCTGGTGAATTTAGCAAATGACTCTGTGTTTAATTGACAGACTGTGAAGATAACAGGTATAGTTATAATTTGACCCTTGGGCCAATCCTTCAACAGAGAAGGTAAAGGGTATAGAGACATCCATTCCTACAATGCCTGGCAGTAAGTGCCCACCCACAAATATTCAAATGCAAGCAGTGGGCACCAAGTTGGAAATTATGCAGTACACAGAGACCCAGCTTGGGTTACACAGCAAGACCCTGTCTCAGATTATGGTGTCTGGCTGGGAGGTGGTGGCGCACACCTTTAATCCCAGCACTCGAGAGACAGAAAGAGGCAGGTGGATCTCTCTGAGTTTGAGGCCAGCCGGGTCTACTGAGTGAGTTCCGGTACAACAAGGGCTATACAAAGAAACCCTGTCTCGAAAAACCAACCCCCCAGAAAAAATCAAATTATGGGGTCTGTGAGATGGCTTGGATTAGGAAGCTTTCAGCCAAATCTGAAGACCTGAATTGGATCTTCAAGGACCCCCTATTCTCATCATATGCCCATGTATACACACACACATGCACACACACACGTTAAAAACAAACTTCATTGCACACGAAGTACTTAATGTGACCAACGGATAGGAACTGCTCACATTGAATTAGTGACTTCAGAAGCTGATGTTTCACAGGGCACCAGCAGGATGACCTGAGCGTACCGGGAAGGAGCTGTAGCCTGTGGAACCACAACACCCATAAGGCTTCGCGGCACTTCCGATTGGTCCTGAGTACGAGGCTGGTGATTGGTTCTCTGTGGTCACTTCTTGAACCCGGAAGTAGTCTCCGTAGGTCCATGTGTAGTGGAGAACCGGGAGTTTGGAAGCGTAGGACATGCGGGGCCCCAGGGTGGGGTGGGCCCGGAGCCACAAACAAAATTGCTGTGGCCTCGAGGACTGCTGAGAGTGCAGCTGCATCTCGCCCAACCCGAGCTGTGCCCATGGAGTCTACGTTCAGCAGCCCCGCGGAGGCGGCCTTACAGCGGGAGGCGGGCGTCCCAGGACTGTTCACCCCTCCCGAAGACCTCGACCGAGTGTACGAGCTGGAGCGAGTCACGAAATTTGTCTGCGATTTGGGGTGTCAGCGGGTGAGGGCCGATTTAGAAAGGGAGGGTTGGCTCGCCTCTGGGGATGGGTTGCGGGGATGGGGATTTTGGATGCTACATGAGGTCTGGTGGGTTGAGGAAATCGGAGTCTGCCCTCCGGAAGTAGGGACTTTGAAACTTGAGTGTTTCTTAGGCAGATGCTCTTGGTGGAGGAGTGAGGTTGCTGACTTTATGGCTTGTGCTTACAGGTGGCCTTACAGTTCCCTGACCAATTACTGGGAGATGCCGGAGCAGTGGCTGTAAGGCTGGAGGAAGTCACAGGATCTAAGATGTTCATTTTAGGGGACACGGCTTATGGCAGCTGCTGTGTGGATGTGCTGGGTGCTGAGCAGGCTGGAGCTGAAGCCCTTGTTCACTTTGGTCCTGCCTGCTTAAGCCCCCCTGCCAGCCTGCTGCCGATCACCTTCGTCCTTGGTCAGCGTTCTGTTGCCCTAGAGCTCTGTGCGAAGGCCTTTGAAGCCCGGAACCCAGATCCCACAGCACCGGTGGTACTGCTGAGTGAGCCAGCTTGTGCCCATGCCCTAGGTGAGAAATTACCTGTGGGGGAAGGAGGGGTAGGTCCATGGTTGCAAGCCTTAATTTCCCTCATTAAGCATACTTCCAGCTGGGCGCTGGTGGTGCACGCCTTTAATCCCAGCCCTGGTGAGGCAGAGGCAGGAGGATCTGTGTGAGTTCTAGACCAGCCTGGTCTACAAGAGCTAGTTCCAGGACGGCCTCCAAAGCCACAGGGAAACCCTGTCTCGAAAAAACAAAAAAACAAAAAAGCATACTTCCATAGATCTCTTTATAGCGGCGCGGCCTAGTTTGTGCTTTAGGGTTGCATTTAGTCACTTGGGGGTGAGGCATCTCATCTCCTACTTTCCCAGACTTCACCTCTGATGCCACCTCCTTCTCTTTCAGAGGCTTTGGCCACTCTGCTGCGCCCAAAGTACCAAGATCTGCTCATCTCCAGCCCAGCTCTTCCCCTGCCAGTGGGGTCCCCAAGTTCACAGCCTGAGCCTCTGGAGCGTTTTGGACGACGCTTCCCCCTGAGCCCAGGAAGGTGTCTGGAAGAATATGGTGCCTTCTATGTGGGCGGTTCTCAAGCCAGCTCTGACCCTGTCCTTGATCCAGATCTGAGCAGACTGCTCTTGGGTTGGACACCGGGACGACCCTTCATTTCCTGCTGTCCAGACACAGGACAGACACAAGACCAGGGTGTCCAGGCTGGGCGGCTAAGAGCACGAAGACTGTATCTTATAGAGAGGGCCAGAGATGCCCATGTAGTAGGGCTGCTGGCAGGCACATTAGGCGTAGCTCAACACCGTGAGGCACTGGCACACTTACGGAAACTGACTGAGGCTGCTGGAAAACGTAGCTATGTACTGGCCCTGGGGAGGCCCACACCTGCCAAGCTTGCCAACTTCCCTGAGATGGACATCTTTGTGCTTTTGGCCTGTCCGCTGGGAGCCCTAGCCCCCCAGCCTTCAGGTGGCTTCTTTCGGCCCATATTGACACCATGTGAATTGGAGGCTGCCTGTAACCCTGCCTGGCCACCTCCAGGCCTGGCTCCCCACCTCACACATTATGCAGAGCTGTTGCCTGGTAAGTGGTGGCGCCACATCTCAGCTTGAAAGTTGGGGCTTGAAGTTGAGGAACCAGGGTAGCAGTCTCCTTCTTCTATTTCAGGTTCTCCCTTTTATGTTCCACTCCCACCCCCTGAGTCAGAATTGTGGGATACCCCAGATGTGTCGCTCATTTCTGGAGACCTCCGACCACCACCTTCTTGGAAGTCATCCAGTGACACTGGGTGTTCTGCCCTAACTCCAAGGCCCCAGCTGGAGCTAGCTGAGAGCAGCCCTGCAGGTAAGCCTGCAAATACCTGCCCCTGCTGGATTCTTGTCCAGGTCCAGTGCACACAGCTTGTTCTCATTCCCTCTACAGCTTCATTCCTTAGTTCCCGGAGCTGGCAGGGATTAGAGCCCCGCTTGGGCCAGACACCAGTGAAAGAAGCTGTCCAAGGAAGACGAGGTATTGCCATTGCCTATGAGGATGAGGGAAGCGGCTGATACCATGAGAGGTCAGAGTCAAGAGTGACAAATCTGCTGGGACTTGTACCGCCTGAGCCAAGGTTGCATCCTCACTTGAATGATGCAGGAAGGAGCCTGGATAGAGGGAATGCAGGTAGCTCCTCCCCGAGGAGCTGTCGAGCCTGTCCTGGCACTAGCTTAGCACACATCTGTGCAATAAATGCCTGTTTGACTGGTGGGAGGAAAAAACGTCCAGGCCTTTCCTGGGCCCATCTGTCAGCAGCCTAGGACTGTGGTTGACTCCCAGTTCCTGGGTGTGCAGGAGTAGTTCTGCCCTTGTTCAGGGCAGGAATTGGATGATCCAGACCAGGGTTCTCCCCCCTCAGCACTGTTGACATTCTAAGCAAAGTAGTTCTTTACTATGGAGGCTATTCTGTCCATGGTGGGCTGTTTAGCTTCAGCAGGAACACCTCCCCCCAGCTATGACAACCCAGATTATGTCAGATGTCATGTAACTGCTGCTTCTAACTGAAAAGCACTGGTCTAGACCCACACTGTCCAGAACAATATTCTTTAGACACATGGCTTTTGCAGTTTTACAGAGTATGAAAAACTCAGTTTCTCAGTTACACTGATCACATTTCAAGTACTCGTATGACTGCATGTAGGACAATACTGTCATAGCACAGAGCTCTGTGGGACAGTGCTGGGCTACACTGACTCAACCCTGTCTCTGGGGGGCACCAAGGAAACTGAAATAAACCAAATACTTTTCCTCTTGTTTCTCTTTATTTACAAAACAAATCTCTGCTCTGCATAGTTCCTGTGGATGGATATGGGAGTTATATTTAACCAGATTCCTGTCCTCAAAGTGTGGTTGGGAAGAAATAGTGACCCCATGAAATATAATTGTATGTGAAGGGAGCCCCAGGGGCAGTTGGATCTCATAGCAGGCCCCTCAGGGGGACTCAAGAGGCATCCCAGATAGGGGAGTCCTAAGCTGGATCTTGTAGAAAAAAAGAATAAAAGGTGTGAAAAGAACATTTGGGCCTAAGCAGAGACTAGTCAATATGGTGGGTGCTTCAACCAAAGTATAATTCCTGGGGCTGGAGGTGTGTGTGTGCGCGTGCTTGAGCGTGCATCTGTCTGTGGTTTCCCAGGAGAAAACAAAATCTAACCACAAGAATCTTATATTGGCACTGTCCAGATCATGTAGTTTCTAGGCTAATGGTAGAGGCAGAGCTGTGGACTGACATGGGAATTGGCTTAAATAGTGAGCACCAATCATGTATTCTACCATGCTCTGAGGACCCATTGTATGCCAGGCACTAGAAACTCAGTGAGTACAGCAGAAACCAGGGTGCTTCCACCTCTTAGAAAGGATGAACATACAGAACGTATTATATCAAGTGGTGATAAGAATTATGGGGAAACACAAAGCTGCGAAAGAGAAAGAATTGTTAAGGGACATAGGGATTGGAATATTACACAGAATGGGTAAGGAAGGCCTTGAAGGTGAGCAAAGACTGGAAGCTAGAGACTGGAGCACATGAATAACTAGAAACAGTGTGAACAAATGGAAGAGAAACAAGGGAAGGGTATGAGTGATAAATAACTAGGAGGGTAGTCTTGCCTCAGAATGCATTAGGGGCTTGGGAGCATAGCCTTGCATACCATAGGATCCTAAGGATTTTCTCTTCCGTTTCGAGTGAAATGGGAACTAAGGGGCATTTGAACAGAATGTCATGGCCTTGAAAGCACCACCCGGACATCATGGGAGTTCAGAGCTGGCACTCCACCCTGCCTCTGGGTTAGGAAAGGCAAGTTAGAAAAATGACCTCTGATGACCATCAGGTGTTGCTAGACAGTGCGAAGGCCACGAAATCCTGCTTCAAGCAGAGGTCCAGTGCCTTCCTAGAACTAGTTAGGACTAGAAAAGACCGGAAGGATCTGCAGTGGTTGGAGAATAAACCGGGAGCCCAGTGGGCAGGTTAGGGAACAGGCAGCGCAGGTGGAGAGCTCGTACCGGGCGCGCACAGCGCCGCGCGAGACTACAACCACCACAGTGCTCAGCGGCACTACGTCTACCGCGGCCCGACCGCAGCCAGCCAACCACTGTGCGCGACGGTCACGTGGAGCCGGCGCGTCACATGCGTCGGTCAGGTGGAACTGCGGGGCGGGCCAACAGACTGCGGGGGGCGGGGGGGTGGGGTTCCCTCCAGGCCCCCGGCGCCCCCCCCCCCGCCGTCGCTGCTGCCATGACGGGGCTGGCGCTGCTCTACACCGGGATCTTTGTGGCCTTCTGGGCCTGCATGATCGTCGTGGGTGAGCGGGGCCCGGGGTGGCTGAGCTGACCGGCTGGGGCTGGGGCGGGGGCAGGTGGCAGCCAGTGCCAGCCCAGGGC